TTTTTGTTCTATGTAAACATTAACCTATAAGCTGTATCGCATTCGGAAATAAAAAAAAACTTGAAACTTGGAACTATCGTTACGTGACCGCGAGATTCTTTTGATGTCTATCAAAGGATCAAACTAGTCTTCTTGTCTCATCAACAAGTTGGCGCACACAGAGCTTTCAATTTTGCTATGACATATTCCAGGGGTGTAGAGAGCGAAAGTGAGCATAACCTCTGGATATCGAGTGTGCCCTGGAATATGTACCATAGTAAAACTGAAGTAAAAGGCTAGCAATTTGATTGGTGTCCGGGGGAAAAACCCTGACACATTACTAGGCTGATACTTGTCCTTTGAAGATTACAAGAGGAGCAACGCCCAACTTCAAAGCCAATAATTGTTACCGTTGGGCGACCGCAAGATTCATCTGATGTACATCAAAGGATCAAACTAGTCTTCTCATCTCATCCACAAGGCGGTGTACATTGAGCATCGATTTGGCTATGACATATTCCAGAGAGCGTAAGTGAGCGTTATCCCTGGATATCGAGGATGCTATACATATAGGATCTTACATGAGTTTCCATTTCATATAAGATTTATGAAACGAGTCTAAGAATTTTTCTATTTAACGAGCTAAAATGAAAATAATTGTGACAAGTGTCATAAATTTCATATGAAATAAAAACGAGTGTAAGATCCTTTTTTATCACATAATCAAGATTTGTGGCATTTATTAGCGTCAAACTACAGTTTTCATGCAACCTTGAAATGTAAAAAGCCGCCATTTTGACTCCAGTGCGTAAGTCTGTGACGTTATGTGCTTGTTCTATGCGTGATGTCACAATTAAAACTTACAACCAATCATAGGGCTGATAGGTCATAGTGTATGGGTTAATATTCACGGGATATCACAGTACATTATGTGATAAAAGTTGTTCATCTCATTCTTATATTTGGTGTTTATTATTTGATCCTGTTTGAAAATGTCGGCGAGTTATAAAAATACAGAAAAAATAAAAAATAATAATAATTCGAGGTTCTTATATGCCGCTTTATCACAACGTAGGTCGTCTCAGAGCGGTTCAAAAAATATTATCTGTGGGTAAAGGACCTTTGCAACAAGCCAGTACCTCTCTCAACTCCCTGGGGAGCATACAGCCGGAGCTGCCATTTCGGCGCTAACAGCTAGCATCCAACAATTCTAGCACTGCGTAACCACGTACTCATTTACAGTTGCGTAGACTGGAACAAGCGGAGTATAGTATCTTGCTCAAAGATACAACACAGTGCCGTGTCGTGACTCGAACACGCAACTCTTCGGTCACGAGCCCGGCGTCCATCCACTAGACTACCGTGCCTCCGTTACCAAAAACAAATTGAGAAACATGTTGCTTCTGTTGAAAATGGTTTCCGGAAAACGATTTCTGGTAATTTCCATAAATACGTCGTAGAAGATCACACAAGAGTATCAATACATACATTGTACTAATAAACAGTCAAATATGTATACATTGTACAATCAGGGGCGTTTCTAGGATATTTGAAAGAGAATGAAATCTTTTGGCGAGCGGAGCGAGGCAAAAACAAATTTGGACCTTTTTTTTTGCTAAAAATCATAAAATAATTGTGAAATTTTAAGGTCTTTTGATGGGGGGAATCAGTATAAAAAGAAATCAGAGTATGTGTTTAATTAATGAATATGATAAATTGCCATATTTAATACAATATTTGCAGATTACGATATTTTTTTTATTTTTTTTTGAAAAGGGGGGGGGGGCGTACGCCCATTAAGCCCTCACCTGGACCCGCCCCCTGACAATATTGGTCACTAGCTGTTCCATTTGAGTTTGTTCGTGTCCGCATATTTGTAAATTGTTTCGGGGAAAACTGAGTTAAGTTCTAGGAACTCTGATTAAACTTAGAATAGTTCCGTGTGCAAATTATATTGCACATTGTTTTAACATAGTTATAAAAATTATCATAATTATATTTTCGAAGAAGTTGATATGGCATGGACATGGTAAATATCTTCGGTAGCAACGACAAAAGAATACTATAATTATTTGCATTTTTATTCGTGTCTAGATAATATCATCCTCGATACTCAAAGGGTAACGTTTACTGTAAGTGAGAGTAACCATTGAAGTATCGAAGATGAGACAATATATGAATGTATCACTACAAGATCACACAAAATGCTTGTCTCGCGGGTTTCATAGGCAAAAATGCTATTTTTTCTCATTTGTTTCTTCAAATTATACCTCCCCTTGTTCATAGTCCCACATTAAACGATACATCACTAGAAGCTCCCTACATGTACGCTTGATGAATTAGAGCGCAGTTATGAATGCCAAACCCTGTCGTCCACATAGTGCACAAAATCTGAACACAAAGTACATATATTGAAAATTGGAATTCTCTTTCTTATTTAAACGCAACGATTGATCAAATATATTAAGCAACAACAGCTATTAATTTCAGAGAAAAACATGATAAAAATTGACTAAGTAAGTTGGCATGCATGTACCCAAAATATTTTCTATTTCTTGATTCCGTTCGTTTTTATAGATCTTTAATACGTTTATCGATATTTGCTCTCTGTTGTTAAAATCGAACACAATTACCAGTACAGTATTAAATTGCTGAATATTAATGATTACATGCACTCTTAACGAGTGACCTAATTATTTTCAAATGTACTTAAGAGAATGGATGTACACGTGCTCATTTCTCAATTGACAAAATGCAATATTGATATCGATTAGCTGATATTTGAATGTAAACAATAGTGAGAAATCTAAGTGTGCTACCATTGTCTGGATCACAAAGGAGTATACACAACTATTGTGGGAATCCATACCTTGGTTTAATTCATCTGTTTGATATGCTAGCATTAAATTGAGTAGTGACGACCCGAACTATCGGTTAACTGTTTACAAACGGGCGAGGTGTTTGAACATCCCGGATGCTTCAACGATAGGCTTGTATAGGGTGACGAAATCGGTCTATATACTCGTTGGATCAGTCAGCCGATTGTTTTTTGGCTCGGTGACAACTTGAAATGAGAGCTTTACAGTTGAGAGAGATTTCATTCTATTTTACAATAAAGCATTTGTTACTTAACGCCTTTCAACAAATGTCTTTTGTGATAATGAATCGTAAAAAAAGAATTGCGTGTCCAAGTATTATAATTGATTCGCATTGAAATTTTATGGCAAACACGTGTCCAAATGTAATGCAATGCAAGAATTTGTAATAAATTTCATCAATCACAGCGACGCATGCCCAACAAAGTGTGAGCATAACCACACAGTTTACGCTGTTAATCAAACACACTTTGTTGACTTGTGCTCGCTGTCGTAAGAAAATATCATGTGTAATTATCAAAGACATAAAGCTTCCTCATTTGACGCTTGTTTTACTCGGAAAAGCGTCGCAACTATAATCTGATATTTTTCTGAGAAACTATTGCAGAATTGGACTTAATAGACATCATACTATTTGAATAACCTTTGCCTACATTTCCAGGGCGGTTAGAACATTTTTGGGAAACTGTTCAATACGTTTGACTGAATTTGGGTGTGACAAGTTTTTTAATCAAGTATATGCCCTTTTTGCAAGGGAATCCAGTTGGGTGGAAACTATTTGAAAAGTGGTCCATTATGACATTTTAACACTTTCGAATAATTGTGTTTTTGAAATCCATCGATTCATGTTTAAAAAGACTGTGATTATGAACAAATATTATTTGAAAAAACATGTTATATAATAAATTGTTTTAATTTTAAATGTTTCCGTGCAGGTTTGGAAATAAACAAACCTGCCGTTTAGCTATTTTCTAATTTTTCATTTGGTTATACTTGGTGTAGTTATTAAATAAAAACGTTTGACAAGGAAATTTCAACCCACAAAATGCATCGGGGTCTTATTGGCCATTTTACTTGAAGTGTTCCTCTTGGTTTTCTGTGTCGTCCGGATCAGCGGAAACCACATGGTAGTTTAGTTTGAACATTTTATTGCTAAAACATTCTGGGCAGTAGATAAGGCACAAGTTATTTCAACTTATCATTTCCTCCTGCCATCACACTAAACAACTTATCATGATAATAGTAATGTATACAATGCGCTTCTATACATATACTTAAGTTTCTGTCTGTCATTACATACTTACTCTTATTCATGTAAAAACATAAAATTCAAATTAACAAAATGACAACAAATAGTTTCTTACAAACACAACTATTGTAGAACATGTTTCAATAGACTGAAACCACTTATCGTGGTAGAGAAGATACCAGGTATTAATTAATTCTTTTGGCAACTGCAATGTGCCGTGATTATTATACAACACGACAGTATCACTTGGTAATGAATTTGCAAAAATGAGAACACGCGACCTTCATCATTCGACTGTTACAATGTACAACAATGGAATAGGAACGAAGAAAGAAGATAAAAATGGACAGCGGTCTTTTGGCGTTTTGGCAAAGCTTGAATTGAATATGAGCTGCGTTTTCGCCTTTCTGTACTGTGATTGACTGCTTTGCCAACATCTCCAATATCTTACAAATTCCGAAAACTACATTAGTAAAACATTAAAAGATATCTGTCAGGAGCGTGGCCTCTCACTTAGATTGAAAAATCCGGACAGAACAGAACACCAAGAGAAACAATGCCAGTAAAATAGCTGATAAGACCCAGATGCATTTGGAGGTTTGATAGTTGCTTACCTAAGGTTTTTTCTTTAAAATAACTATACCCAGTATAAGCAATTAAAACATTAAAAAATAGCTAAAAGGCAAGTTTGTATATTTAATCTTTTCTGTCTGTTGCAAAGTGCATGCAATATCGACATGTACTTTAAGATGCATTACATACACCGAGATAAATAGACGTGTATATATGTATAAAAGGAAGATGTTTCCCTAACTAGCGACGTAAAACTTCGTTAGCGGTAGAAAACCTAAACACGTGGGCAAACTCAACCATCAGAGTAGCTCCACCACTACCGTCGTCAGGTGATTGCGCGGGAAACTATGCGTGTTATGCGGTGACGTTCGGAAGAGAATCTAGGCTCGCGCAGATGACTTGTTGAGGACGTTATCAATCTTAAAGGTTTGGACGACTTCAGCAACGAAAAAGCTTCACTACTGGGTTAAATTGCCTTCTCCACGACAAGTTTTCATCTACATCCGGTGATATTAGACAGTTTGACATCGGACGAGTATATTTAAGTGATGTGTTCCAACAAAAACTTTATGCAAAAGTCGCGAGTTAGGCTACAGGTGGTCGCATGGACGTTGACGGTTGAAGATTGATATTTTGCCCGAGGCTGTATGACACGACCGGAGAACGCTTACTTAATAACGTATGTATACGGCGTTCTGTCAATATCTAAACAGGCTTTATTTTATTTGGATCATGGTTTATTACTTTTCACAATAATAACACTATAGATTTATGAACATCTGACTTTTATAACTATTGTACAAAAAACGATCAATCAATTCATAAATGTGTTATAGACAAACAGACTATTTCATTTAGAATGTGTTATTTTAATACTGTTAAGTATATATAAATCTAATTTTATTAAATTTTGGGTAATATATACCGCATTGAGTGTGTTTAGTATCGTTTTGGGGGGATGTTCTCAAGTCGAAATAAATCAAAGTGGTGCTGTGTGTTTTCGTCAGTGCTGCTCGGAGCCAAGACCAAAGCAATGAGAGATGAACTACTTAATGTCATCCAAATTTGAATAATTATGCGCGAGAAGCTACAAGTTTATACACGTGTTGATATACTTTTACATAATATCTCTTCATGTTAATTACGTACGTATATGTGTATGTATAACATGTGTACCGACTTACTCAGTGGCGTTAAATGTCAATTAGACGAAAACACTTGTCCACAAATGTAAATTTTAAGTGTTTCTGGCTCCTTACGTAGTCTGCTAATTAAGCATTACACGAAGTCCGTGTTGACACAGGTTTAAAAACTATTACTATGCTAGAAAGTGTTTGCTACAAAGATTTTATATACGAATGTCTCCCGAGGTTCTGGACAGGAAATATATTTACACAACATGTCATACGAGAGTTTTCTTCAGTAGTGTCAGCTGACCTTTTCCTTTCTTTGTGCTTCATACATATATAACAATTGTATATACATGTATTATTCATAATTATATGTTTCATAAACTCGAAGGGCAATGAATCAGTGTTGTTTCATGGGTTTGGAATGGTATGTGTTTGGATGGAAGCCCTCTATTAAAGCCTCCCTGTCGTCATATGACCTTATTTACCTCACATGTAACTGTTGCGAAGACTTAAATAGCAAACTATCAGCAAGGTCTAACTGTGACGAAGACCGTTACAAAAGTCCTAAAAAACTGCCCACATAACCTCAAAGAACTTCCAATGCCACAATACTCTTACATACCAAGAATGACCAAATTAGACATATAGTGGGACTGTTGGCGTCAGCTTGATGTACACCAGTAATGGAGGAGGAGGAGGAGGAAAACAACTTTATGAAGAACATGAGAAAAGCAGTAAAAAAAGAATCCACATCGTTTGGATGACATCATAAATGAGTCAATAAGTATATATAAACATAAACTTGGCTTATTTCATAACAATTATGACACCGTTTTTCATTCTTATATGAATCGCTCCTTTTTGACCGGTTTGAAGCGCACAGTAAGTCTAAATGGGGGAGGAAACCGGAGTACCATGATCGAGGAAACCTAAATGGTTAGTGTGGTGACCCAATATGTTTTACGTCCTATCAGAAAATCGACGAATCCCGGCAGCTTTAATAACATGCCAGTGCATTATCCATTGAACTACCCAAGAACCAATTAATAAGTTTGCCTCCGTATTGTTTAGAAGTCATCAGATACAATATATATATTTAGGGGTGGGTGTGACAATCTACCGCTCATTGCATAGCAAGACGTGTATCTTTATCACAGAGATAGGAATATGGAGCGAATATCAGAACGCATTAGGAGACTAGAAGTCCCTATACATGTACATACCAAACCTTTTAACACTGCTAAAGGCTGTAGTTACGTGCTCACAGCAAGTAAATAAGATACGATTTCTTAATGGAAAATGTCTGTGTGCGTATTGTCTCTATTACAGCTGCGTTTTCGTACTAACGTGTTTTGAATGGTACAGTTGTAAAAAAAATATCGTTAAATGTGTGAAAACATTTATCAGGATGTAGCATTGTTTTAACAATCAGTAGCCGCTGCAATAAATAATTAAGCCTTGTTATAGCCTCTACAAATTGACGGTGAGACAACTAGTGCGAACTGCACGGAAAGCGTGGAATGAGAAGAAATTAAAATAGTGGGGAAAATGTTATTGAAGTGTCTTGGGTAGGAACAACAATAAACAAAAATCGCTCTACTTTCCATGAATAGAAAATGAATCAAAACGTTTGAATAGGAAATGTGTTTATAAAAATATATGAATCATTTATTTGTAGATGTGATACATGTATACATATATCATTTGATTTTGTTTCTGAAATGTAGTACAACATTTATCAAAACAAATATTGTATGATTATTCCACTTTATTCTTTATAAAAGTCTAACGTTAATCTTGTCTTAAAGATCTTATTTTCTGTATAAAGCTGTCGTTTTGTAAAACACCATACTGCTAGAAATAACATATAAAAAGATGTTGTTATTGTTCAATATTGATCGGTAACGCTTTTGTTGAATTTGATGAGAGGTTGCGGATCTTTTAACAGACTTTCGGTATTCAAAACTGGGTTGAAAGGTGTTTGTTTTTCTTTAATTAGCGATAAACACAAATTTCGGTGTGGAATATCACATAGCAAACAAGTAAATAAGTACCTATGCAGTAGCGAATAACAGTGCATTAAGTATCACAATGAAAATACAAAACTAGGTGTAAATTTCACGACGTCAGGTCGGGCGTTACTCCTGATTGGCTGAATGAATGTTTCTTCTTTATTTCACTCGCTTTAAAAATGGCAATAATTTGAATTGTTCTCGGTTTTGTAGACGAATGAATTCACCCAATTCGTCCTCTGTGACCCCACAGCACCAAAATGTACGAATCCATTATATGAATCACGTGTTGCATATTTGTTTTTACATTCTTCATTATCCGAATTTACATAGTGACTTTCCAGAAAGGAGATAGATGCTTGGTCGATTGTTTTTAATTTTCATTTAGGTGTCGCTATATTGATGACTATTAGTATTTGAGTAATTGAAGAAGTCGAGAACTACTTGCATTTCATTTATTGTTTGATATAAATGAAGTCAAATAAAGGCTTCCCTTGTAAAACTCGCTCGCCTCCTGACCATAGTATATGAACCACGCTGTTTTACCTACAGTACGACAGAAAAAGTCATCTTACAACCAAATTCTATGGCAGTTACATGTACTTACAGTATGATTATGAAGGTTATCTCGCTACAAACCTCTAAGACATTTACTTTCAGTGCGAAAATAAAAATCACCTAATTACCAAACTCTATGACATTAACCTACAGAGTGACAATAGTCGTCACCTAACTACCAAACTCTATGACATTAACCTACAGTACGACAATAATCGTCACAACGCTACCAAACTCTATGACATTAACCTACAGTACGACAATAATCGTCACAACACTACCAACCTCTATGACATTAACCTACAATATGACAATTGTCGTCACCTAACTACCAAACTCTATGACATTAACCTACAGTACGACAATAATCGTCACAACACTACCAAACTCTATGACATTAACCTACAGTATGACAATAGTTGTCACCTAACTACCAAACTATATGACATTAACCTACAATGTGACAAT